ACAAAGTTTCCTGTAAGGGGTAGGTTTAGGGGTAGGGTTGGTGTAGGGCAATAGCACATACAGTTTGTACAGTATAAAAACCCTTACGCCTATGGAATGTCCCCATAAAACATGGAAACACAACATGTGTGTGTGTGTGTGTGTGTGTGTGTTAAGTGTTGGCCAGTTTGGAGTGTCAGTTAAATGTGGCACATGTCTATTGTGTTTTGGGACCCCGGACCCTCGGCACAATTCAGCAGGAGGTTTGCAGACGGCTTTCTGTGGTGGGGGGGAACACAGCTGATCCACACAAAAGACTCCTGTTCACAAGCAGCACACAATACCCCGACCCTAATGCTTATAAATCTATTCACTGATCAGAGCGCATGGCAGCACGCCGGGCCAATGCATTTACAAAACCAAAAACTGTGACAAAGATGCTGAAACATCTGAGAGCTTTAACAGCACAGACATGTCTGCAGGAAAACATTTAGTTTCAGAAAATTACAAACTACCGACAAACAAAATTGTTTACTTGGTTTGTAAAATACTATTCATTTCTTGCATCTAATTTACCTGAAACAATTTTCACTCAAAACCTGCTAGTAAATTTCACTAATAATTACATAAAAAAAATTGCAAGTTACATTGATTTAAACATGAAATTCTTAAGCAGAAAGACTGAAATAGCATTTTCTTGTAAACTGTACTCCAATAATCAGTTTTTTTACAACTTGAAAAAATCTTTTTTACAGTGCATGTACTTTGCAATTTTGCACAATTTTACACGATCGTTATAAAATGTTACCATAGTTTCCATTTTCTATGTGCACTTTGCAGGGTTATTATAGTTAACTAAAACCATAAAACATTTCCAGTACTTGAAATAAACATTAACCGAAATAAAATATAAAAAGTAAACATTTTAGATCTCATTTTTCTCATTTTAATTTAGTTTACTTGATCTAGTAAAATAACTAAAACGAAACCTGAAATAAAAGTTAATAAAAAGTATATACACATATTTAAAATAAAATAAAATTTAATACAATTAAATAAATAAATAAATAAATAAATAAAACTAAAAGTTAATTCAAATTAAAATTAGAATTAAAATATAAATATTTCGGTGTGGAAATAAATAAGTTTAAGTTGCTAACTTTAAATTACTTCAACTGAAATAAAAATAAATAAAAGCAAAACAGACATATAAAAAATAAAAAATAATAAAAATGGCAAAAGCACATAACAAATTTCTAAAACTTTAAATAAAGTGAAAATAAAGTGAAAATATAAAAATATAAACTAATTCAAAATATCAATGAAAAAACATAAGAGTATCTCAAGGATACTGAAATAACACTGGCACTAACAAACACTAGAACTGAGAAGAATGCACAAACATCAAACACACTCACTCTGGGCTGTGTGTCTCTGAGCTCTTCAGTATTCGGGTTGCTGAAAGGTCGGCGGTGGGCGGGGCTGTGTTTCAGGAAACACGACCAGAATTATGCAAATGAAGCTGGCTCCCCCCGCCTTTTCTCATCACTGTCAGACTGCTGATCGAGCCAGACCGCTACGAGCACAACCTGCACGTCTCAACACACACACACACAGATGATGTCTCTCCCCAAAGTGTTTGGATAGATTACATCAGACTATGTGATCTATGACATCAACCTGTGTGTTTCATGTGTTCAGTTTGGATGAACATGCAACAAATGCATCTTGGAGACAAAACACATAACAGACACCAACAACACCAATACACCTATACTTTGAGGACAAAATACTGATAAATGTCCTTCTTTTGCAGATATCCTCAGAGGTCGTTATTATTCCCAAATAAATGTATACTATGTTTTTATACTTCTAAGCTTGTAAACTAAGGTTTGGTTTTCTTGGCTGAGAAGTCTTTGGTATGTCCTCATTTACATACCTCTGTAAGTGTGTGTGTGTGTGTGTGTGTCCATTTCTCCAATTCAGTTTCAGCTGCTGTTTAATGAATGCATGGAAACAAACACTCCCCCTCCTCTTCAAGAGCAACAAAGATTTCATTACTCATTTACTGTACAAGAAAGAAAGAGACCGAGAAAGAGAAAGCAAGAAACATTTAAACTGCTTTAAAATGCTTGAATTGTGCATTTTAGCATTAAAAAAAAAAAACACTTTAGTATTACATTCGTTTTATGTTATTAATAATATTTTGAATAGCTTTTAATATTATTTATATTATTATTAATTAATATTATGAATACCTTTTTTATATTTCTATTTTTGTTTTATTTTTTGTTTAAGTTTTAGTCTTTTTTTGTGCTTTTGCCATTTTATTATTTTCTTCTATTTGTATTTATCTGTAATTTATTTTTATTAGTTTATTTTAGTACTATTTATATTTACATTTAGTCATTTAGCACACTTTTATCCAAAGCGACCTACAAATGAGGACAATGGAAGCAATCAAAATCAACAAAAGAGCAATGATATACAAGTGCTATAACAAGTCTCAGTTAGCCTAACGCAGGTTTTTTTTTACATTTTTGTTTTTTATTTACATATTATAATTGCTTTTATTCATATTTTTAATTAGCTTTTATTTTTTAGGTTTTAGTACTTTTGTACTAATATTAATATATTTTTTTATTAGTTTATTTGAATATTATTTATATATTATTATAGTATTTATTAATATTTTGAATTCACTTTTATTTGATATATTTTAAGTTTTAATTGTATTTTTAGTTTAGGTTTTAGTCAATGTATTGTGTGCTTTGGACATTTTTATTAGTTTTACATTTATA